GTCAGGGACTCCTCCACCCTCTCCATCAACTGTCTGAACTGCTGCCATCAGGGAAATGTTTCTGGAGCGTTAGAGGAAGAACCTCCAGACTGACCAGCAGCTTCATGCCTCCAGCTGTCAGAACGCTGAGCTGCTGATCCAGAGATGTAAACTATTCTTTAATTGTTTTTAGTTTTTGGATCCTGAAGAAACGTTCTCTCATCTTGTTTGTACTGCTGTACAGCAGAATGACAATAAACTAAATAGAAGAAAAAACTAAATTTTAAAAAGACATTTGTAGGCATTTTTGCCAAAATGATTCCCACTTTGCCCAGTCGACCTCTCAGGTTCTGTTTAAAATCTGGTAATTTCTAGTGAAATATTTTTGTTGCTTTGTTTTCAAAAACAAAATAAAGGATTGAGGAATGCCGTGGTGAAGAGGAAGCTAAGGACAAAGTGACCAGCTGCTTTACGTTCCAACAGTCACCTGTTGTCCTGAGTTCTGGGTCGTGATGTAAAGACTTCCAGCAACAAATGCCTGAAGTGAGTCTGGGCTGGGCTCAGCCTTACAGACACGGAGCTCCGACCTCCAGAGGGAACTCGGAGCAGAGTCATTGCTCCTTTAAAAGGAACCAGCTGAGGCGTCTGATCGGGATGCCTTCTGGGCACCTTCCTTTGGAGGTACCGCGGGCACGTTTGACTGGGAGGAGACCCCGGGGTAGACCCAGAACTTGGTGAAGGGATTACATATCTCATCTGGCCTGGGATGCCCTGGGATCCATAGCTGGCGGTGTTGCTGGGGAAGCAGATATCTGGAATGCCCTGTTTAGCATGCTGCTACCGCAAACCAACTCCGGATAACTTTAAGAAAGTGGGTGGCTCAATGGATGGACTCCCTCAGAATCCAGTTTAGTGCAGGTTTCACTGAGCTGATGGCAGCTGATTGGTTTATGGCAGCATACGCAGCCGATCTTGTGAATGTGGACGATCAAACCAAGTGCAGACTATTATTATTTTTATTAGATTTTATTTTAGTCTTTAGTTTATACCGCTCACACATGCACGTAGACAAATTAACATTATATTATATTTGGTTATGGTATTTTTCTTGGAAATTCTGGGCAGCATCTTTGACATAAATTTGCCGATTCAGCAGCTGTAAATGGGATTAACACACACACACACACACACACACACACACACCGGCATGAACACAGGGGCTTTGTTGTTCAGAACAAATTCCCTCTCACTCTCTCCTTCTGTCTCTCTCATATACTCACTCACAGAGGATTAGTGTGACTGAGGATTGAACTAATCTGAAACTAATCTGGTTACTGTCCCCTGTGATATGCATTTGCATATTTGTACGAGTGTGTACGTGCACACAGTATGCGCACGCCTTTGTGTGAACGGCGTGCATTTATGCACACGTTGGCGATGTGAAAGAGACGAGTGTCACTCTGTCTGCGCTGTTGTGCGCCTGTGTGTGTTTATGTGTGTGTGTCCAACCAGCGAATAGCAGATTAGTATTGATTAATGCACATTGAATTAGCGAAGCGTGTAGCGTGTAACCTGTTTTAGCCAACTACCTGTCAGCAGTTGGACAGTAATCACGGGTGTGTATTTGTGCATCAGATTAAATTAATTTACCATGAAGCTGTAACACAATCTTAATAAGCTACCTGTCAGCAGGCGGGATTTTAGTTGATACTCGCAAGTCAGTCAGATTACTAGCTTGTAAGATTCATAAAACAACTTAAAACCTTTTTATTATGTGCTTAGCTGCTAAATATGCGTGTAAGCATGACAGAGAAAGATCAGAACATGGGATGGAATATATTCTGTATATATATATATATTTATAAGTGATAGCACGCTATTAAAATTTCTGGCCGATACCGATATCCGATATTAAGATTTCTGATAAAACCGATATCAGCGATGTTGATATTCCGTTTTTTTCCACACCAAAAAATGAGTATAAGTAGAGAAATCTATTCAAAAGAAGCCCAAATTAGACCACATAGTCTTCCTTATTACGTAACAAAAGTAAAACACATTTAAACATATTTTAACATATTTAATGTTAAAGGACCATTTAAGTAAAAACACCTGTGAAATAGCAGCGATATCAAATGTAGAGACGAAGGCGCTGATGCTGGACAATCCTCGGCTAAACTTGTTTATCGGACCGATACCGATATATGGGAACAACACTGATATCGACCGATACCGATGCGGTCGCCGGTATATCGTGCATCAATAATATATATATACTGCTCCAAACACAATGTGTAACTAATGCTCCTGCCCTTCTGAAGAAGTTTGTCTTACCTTCCTCACAGTTATCGCCCTTATAACCAGTGTTGCAGATGCAGGCGCCCATAATGCAGATGCCGTGTCCTCCACAGTGGATGTCGATGCACTGGTTGGCCGGCACGTCGCACTCGGTGCCTTTCCAGCCGCTGTAGCACTGGCAGCGTCCACGGGAGTACTGGCCGTTACCGCTGCACAACACCGGACAGGCCGCTATAGATCGGACACGTGCGGGGAGATCGATCGGTTAGACATGCCGGCATCGCTGAACGATTAAAATCCTGAAGTTTATCAAAGTGTACAGCGTCTGTGCAAACAACTGCTGAGATGGATTCAGAGCTCCATCGTTCCTTTAAAGCTCGGGTAGGCAGGACTTTTTTGGGGCAACACAAATCAAGTGCCACCATAATCATTTTGACAGAAAACAACTGCCTCGATAGTTTGTTTAACACAAACAGACCCAATTGAGCAACGGCAGACCATCAACTCCTTGTTATTGTCAACAGATTCTGCTGCCGTTGAAGAGCGCAACTTATGCTGCCATAAATTCTTTTAACTGCTCCAGATGACTATAAATGTTTTACTGCTTCCCCGATCCACAGCTACACCGAGCAGGTAGCCGTGATTTCCCATGAAAGGAATTACATGAAGCGCATGCATATAATGGTGCTTGTTTGGTCCGACGGAGAGGCTGACGGAGCAGAGCTGCAGGGGATAGAATGACTAATTCTCCTTTTCTAGATTCTCCCCTTTCAGAGTTTTATGGTCGGAGCAGAGAGATGTTTTGGTGTGGCGCTGCTCGATTGATGAACCTCGGATCAAACCGGTTTCGGGCTACGCACAGAGCAGCCGAGCTCGTACCGACGATCCTGCTGCAAAACGATTTTTAAGGAAAAAAGGTCAGCGTATTCCTTTGATGAAGGCTCCTCTTTTATCAAAGGAGCACACTGAGAGAGACTGAACGGTAAAGCGGCGCAGCATTCAGAGTGTGCAGGTCACACTCACTGCTGGGATAACAACCCCGCCACAATTACCGCCTCTCTATGGGTGGCAGAGTGTTTGTGTGAGTGTGAGTGTGTTTACCTCGAGAGCAGTCAGGCCCCAGAAATCCTGGGAAACAGTGGCATATTCCTGAGAGACAATCACCGTTTCCATGACAATTCTGAGGACACTCCATAATCGACTCTGATTAAGAGAGAGAGAGAGAGAGTGTGTGTGAGAGAGAGGACGAGAGAGAGAGAGAGAGAGAGTTCTTAAGGGATGCAAATTAATTGGGCAGAATGGATAAGCAACTGTATGTCTTAAGAAATAAGAGCCGCATACGTACACACAGCAGGCTGACAAACCGCTCCTCTGTGGTTGCTGTAGTTACAGCCAGTCAGTCCAATCAACACATCCTAACATCCAATTACCCTGCTCTCTCTTGCTCGCTCTCCCGCTTCCTCTCTCTCACACCATCATTGGTGCACACTCTGGTGTACCTAAGTGGCCATTTCCTCTGCACACGTGCACACATGCTCAGAGTCAACTTTCCAATTTTCCACGACGTGCTACCGTTAGATTAAATATTCGTTACCATTAATTGAAAATAACACATCTGGTATAGCTCCCATCTAAGCCGATCGGCTGCTTCGTTAGGTACGCCTGTTCCTTTAAGCAAATATCCGATCAGCCAATTACGCTGCAGGAACTCGTTTAGGCATGCAGAAATATTCAAGAGGCTCCGCCGAAGTTCAAGCCGAGCACCAGAATGGGAACGAGGAATTTTGAGACGGATAGATTCATCGGTGGCTGTGTACGAGCCAGACATCCATCCAGCCAGTGGTGCCACGTTGGAAAGTCTGGATAATGGTCAGACGAGTACAAGCTGATTAAAACTAATTCAAATAACCACTCATTACAACCAAGGTATGCAGAACACTTGAACGGGCTACAGCATTATAATACAGCAGCCTGCTAACTAGAGACGGAACAGGAAACTCGGGCTACAGTGGGAAAACGTGGTTCTGTTCTGATGAGTCTTGATTTCTATCGTGGTGTTTATATGGTTGGTTCGAAACAGAAAGCATGGACCCATTCTGCCGAGTATTAACAATTCAGGCTGCTGCTGCCGGCGGTGTAATGGCATGGGGGGGGGTTCATTTGTGCACATTGGGCCGTCCAGTATCAACTCATTTGAGCACCACAGCCTGCCTGACCATGTCCATGCCTCATCACGTCACTGTGGACTGTATAGGCCTGGCTAGTTGAACAAAACCATATCAATAGACACTCACTAACAGCAATGAAACACTGAACTGGGCTGCATGGAGGCCTGGTGGTTAACACCGTCGCCTCATGTAGCCCTGTGATAGACTGGTTACCTGTCCAGGTGAACCTGCCTTCACCCTGAGTCAGCTGGGATAGACTCCAGCCCCCCATGACCCTGGTGAGGATTAAGGTGTAGAGATGATGGACGGATGGATGATGGTCCAACCCAGCATTGGCAAAATCTATCTAAAGTGGCTAATAGCTAAAGTACAACTGCAGGATAGTTGATCAACAAGTCAGAATGTCAGACATTCAGCACTAAAATGAATCCAGTTAGGTTCACTTTCCTACAGAATAATTACCAACATGACCTAATTATTCACCTGTCTGCACAACAGATCTCCTCATATGGGCAGGACCTGTCAGATCTCTGTCCAGCAATTTAAGTGAAGGTGTGAAGAAACACAGTGTCTGTAATATTGTTGGTAATTACAAACTGTTTTGAATTGTTATTATCTCGTTAACTGACATTTTCAAACGAACTCCTGCAATGACAGCCTGCAGCTGTAGCCGGTGTAGCCGTGTACAGACAGGTAGTGCTGGATGGACTGAAGTGCACTGACTCACTCTGACAGCAGCTCAGCCCTGATTACTCCAAGACGTGCAGTGTTTGCTGCTACAAACCCGTCTCACCTATGATGATGGTGTTGTAGCAGACTTGCTCGGTGTTACGCCCATCGTTGTAAAACGCCAGATGCCAGATTCCCGTGTCCAAGAACTGGATGAAGCCAGCCTCGTGCACGTTCACCGAGCGTGCGTGTCGAGCTCCTCCCCCAGACTCGTCTTCATGAGAACTGGCTGCATGAGGGTTTACCGAGTCCACGTCGCTGAGCGCTCGTTTGTCTTTGGAAATGAGACGGCTGCCGTCGAGCAGCTCCACGAAGTCATACTGGAACGGAAAAACATGCACGAGTCACTGTTTGTTTCACACTAAAATACCAAATGAAACATCTAACATCGACATTTTCCTGAAGTTTTAGAGACGACAGCAACACATATGTAGGATAAGTCAGTCAGTCACACGAGTTCACACACAGAGAAGTGAAACTGAGTTTCTCTCAAACCCTCATTTAAAAAAACAGCTGAAAAAATATACATCCTAAAAAATATTTAACACATAACAAGCTACAAAATATACAATCTAAGCATATAATAGACTAAAAAATCTATAATCTGACCATATAATGAGCTAAAAACACAAGTAAACACAAAAGAGAACAGAAGAATCTGCATCAGGCACATATTAACACTTTGGTTCTGAGGTTCTGAACCAGATGTGTACGTAGAAAACACATGTGCAGTGAAAACTGTGTAAATCACGCGATACGTAGTTACAGACAGTGCTGTAAACAAGCTTATTAAGCTGTAAAGTGGCTTCATGTCTTTGTGCTGCTTTGAGTCCAGTTTAGTTTAGGATAGTAATGGATCGTGGTGCTGGTCAGTCCAACAGTCCCATCTGGGTCAGAACTAGTCGGGTTAAGTTTGGTGATTCGTGGCCCTTGGATGTAGTAACTCCACATTTAATCCAGCACCACTGCCATCCCTGATCTGCTCATTCAATAGTGACTGATTTACATGTTCTTGATATTTTTCAGACGGATCCTGATTACTTTGGCGACCGCTGACATCATCCTGTGACGACATGTTAGTCCTTGACTTTATGGTTTAATGTGACCTTGTTGACTCTGTTAAATACACTTTCATTAATTTAATCTCAAGCCTACAAGAACACCAACTCTTAGCATGTCTTTATCCTCATGCTGCTGCAACACACACACCCACGAGTAACCTTTTTCTTTTTTCTCTCTCTCTGATAGAAGAATTATTACACATTAAATCACACAAACTTGAATGAATGAGGTTGGACACACTCACTCGTCTGCGATCCAGAGTGCTATCATTAAGCCGTGATAAAGGTGAAAACGCATGAAGCTGTCTTTTACAGATAAGTGGATTAGTCCCTCGATAAAGGACACGATTTGCCACACGGAGATGTAAATGTAGTCATTAAACGAATGGTTTAGTTTGTTAAGAAGCTTATCTGCTTCATTATGAGCTAAAAATCCATAAAGCACTTGACCTTGACACGTTTGCAAAGCTGCCAACAAGATTTGGGCTTTTGATATTTTGGGCAGGAAGATTTTCTTTTAATTTTTTAGCACTTCCAGCGTATGTGGAAAAACAGAAAGGCCAGAGGATAGCTAGAGAGGAGCAGCTTTTAAAAACGCTATATATGGGAACTGAAATCTGATTTGATGTCATTCAGAGTTGGTTTAATTACATCTCAACATGACTTCTGTGATGAATCGTGCCCTTCTCTTATTCTTTTGTCTATCAGAGTCTTCTTTGTCTTGTAGAACATTTTATCTCAGGGCCACATTACTGTCAGTTTTACCATAATGTGTGTTTCACTGTCCTCAGGGTCACTGGCTGTGCTCAGGAACAGGAAACTAACCGCGAGATCGTATAAAATGTACAGAGTCACAGCAGGTCCTTCACAAACATCAGCCCATTTTCCAACACCTGCCTACGGACACCACAAACTGGCCTTAAGGCAAGGTAAACTCAGTCTGGAAAATGTTTGGGCTCTTTAAACTCAGATAAGGGAACATGTGATCCATCATGGGTTTGCACAACCTACCTGCGTATGTGAGGGCGGCAGGCCTTTGCGTCCATACACCCCGACAAGAGCGTCTTTCTGCACGGAGATGTTGAATTTCAAGAACTGTGGCTGGTCGATGTATAGCTGGGACCTCCAAAACACTCCTTGGATAAAGAACAACAAACCGGCAAGAGCCAATCAACTCAGCGTTTCATATTCAGAATATAAATCAGTATTTCCACACAATGGCATCATACAAAAGTCATGGATTTGAGAGACGCCGACACTCACAATTATTCAGACACGTATTCGACAACAACTTTTCCTTTTAAAAACCGCTGCGTTTCTGTGTTGCTGTGTTGACATTCATTATTCATCGCCTATACATTTTATCTCCTGGAACTGCTGCTGATTCAGCACGCTGCCTCCCTGATGCAGGTTTTCCTTGAATATACGCCATGCTTTAAACATCACAATGAAATCTTTTGCACGCAGTCAAATCTGAATCTTAAAAGCCTGTTATTGAGAGAGGCTCAGAAAAAAATGTAAATAATGAACAACAGCTTTCTTTAGAGGCCGTTACCTCATTAGCACATGAGCTACAGACTGTATCCTAAATAATCATAAGTCACGTTTGTTACGATATGATGCACATTTAATTAACACATTCAACACAGAGAGATGCTGTTTCAGAATCAGATGAACTTGCACGACTTCTCTCCTCACATAGAAATACAGAAATATAACGCTATAGATAGGTAGTGCAAAGTGATATGAGGAGAGGTAGATAAGTATTTCATTATCTGCTTTACCCTCAATGCATGACAGGCTCATGTACGTGTGCAGGTGTTTGTAACCGACCTGGCGGGACGTCTTGGACGGCTCGTCTCCCCACGTCCACCTCTCCTGTGTCTATGGTGTTGTTCTCTAGAAGAAACATTTTGCCTGCAGAAGGTAAAAGATTAAAAAAAAATAACTTTTTAAAAAAACTGAGAGTCCAGAAAATGTCAATAATTCAGCTTCTTATTGTGAGTAAAAGTCTTTCTGCAGTGGGGAGAATACAATTTAGGCAAAGACAGGAGTTTGATCTGTTTTTTCAAAGCGCTGCCGTCAGCAGATCGAAGGTTTGTATTGAATGCAAACCGGAAAATTCCTTTTCTGCACTTTCATATGAGTGTTTGTTTATAGAGAATAATAGACGGAGCTGATTGTCCAGTTAAAGTTTAATATAATGTCGCTGAACATCCAAACTGAGAACTGCTGTCATGTGCTTTTCAATGACAGCAACAGAGCTGGCATTCGTCATGTGCATCCATGACCCATACCACATGTAAACGGTCTGCAAAGTGCTTTACAATGTGTTTCTCATTCGCACATTCATACACCAACGGCCACAGAGCTGCCATGCAAGCTGCTGCCTGCCATCGGGAGCAACTTGGGTTCAGTGTCTTGCCCAAGGGCACTTGGACTGCGTGTCGAACCGCCAACCTTGTGATTGGAGGACAACCCGCTGTACCACCTGAGCCGCCCACATCATTCCCTACTGTATGATACAACTGCTCGTTCATAACTGAATGAAAAGCAGAGAGACAAATGAGATACCATCTCAGTGTGAAATCCCTCCAAAGGCTTGATGGCAGAGCAATATATCGAACACTAAAATCGACCATCTCTACTGATTCTTATGCTTTTATTATGAGCAGCTTGGACATCGATCATGTTCGTCTGGGAAAGCTGACTTCCCCAAGAAGGATTATTGAGGGTTTTATTCATTTTACTAAACACTAAAGCCCTTTGGTTAAAGTTGGGGTAACAAGCTGTGAAGTAAACTCTGAATGTAGACACACCACCAGAGTGTATTTCTTTCGATCCACTGGGAAGGTGGGACGGTTCCACTGACTGCTGGTCAGTTTGTAATTTCATCGGTCCTTCCTGTTCATAGCACTTTAACAGTTTAAGTCATGACATCTGTTCAAGATGTGTGTGTGTGTGTGTGTGTGTGTGTGTGTGTAAATTATATTCAACGTTGGTCCCCATCAGCCATGTTTATCCGTTAATAAGCCCCCGTGCAGCACGGTGAGAACATTTCAGTTTTCAAATTCCTTCAGTTCAGATATGTGAAGGTGTGTATCGTCCAACAAAGCTTTGATTAGTTTATCTGATTTGTTTCAGATGTCCAGGACCTTTAGAAAGGGTTGCTCCCTGTATGTGGTGACCACAGCGTTGGTCCCCATCTCCCACTGAAACCAGTAGAGCTGTGTGTGTGTGTGTGTGTGTGTGTGTGTGTGTGTGTGTGTGTGTGTGTGATATTTATGGTGGTCTCTACATTTGTCACACTAATCCAAGCTGCAGTATATAACACACACATGCATCTCTATTTCTACAGCAGAACACTGTCACTCCTGACCTCTGTCTCTATTCCACTGGAGTTAACAGCCTGTAACACAACCCCGCACACAAGTCAGAGCAGGACCAACATCTGCAAAAGCAATCGAAGAGAGCGAGAGCAACGTTTCTGCCGTCTCTGCTCTTAATTTTTCTCATTTGTTGACCTTTTGTTCTGCTCTGCTCTCACCTCTAACCTGCTCTCAGCCTCCTGACGTTTAGCTGTTGAAGGTTCAGTGTCATGGAGGCAAAGTTTAGTCACAGGAAGTGGGAACATTTAGAGTTTCTCCTTTCACGTCTACACTTCCAAGCGTATATTCAAAACCCTCACAACTCCCAATAAACATGCTCTGACATTTATGGCTCCACCACTCGCCTTTATTCTGCTCTGTCTCGTGTTTGTGAAGAAAAGAGACCAGAGGAAGAAAATGTGAGAACGAAAGAAAGAGAAAAGAAAAAGTGATGAAACTGAAGCAGCGGTGTTTTAACAAAGGCTTGATTGGCAGGATGAGGTCAGCGCAGCCAGCCGAGCTTTAACTGAGTCACACCAGTGGCTTCTTTTCTGATGTTTTTTTTACTTGGCACACTAACACCAGTAATTATGGTTTCTGCTGCAATGCTGCAAATCTGTAAACTTTCCCTAAAGTACACAACAAACCAACACAAGATGCCGTGGATCATCCCGACATGTAAATAATGTCACACAAAGTGCAGTAAAGAAAGACATCATGAAGTGAAATCAGATTCATTTTAACATGTTTCTGATGAAATACCAACAACACCGGCGTCCTGGACATCACTCCTGAGACTTTGGGACGACTTCTAGAAAATGTCTTACTGTAATTATTGTAATTAGTTTGACAGATTTTGCAGTTTGATTTAATTTGCGACGGAAAACACCATTAAAAGTGGTCGTACAAAGAGAACAGCATGAATTTGTAAAACTGCTGACACAACTCGGGCTGCGAATAATTATTTCTGCTGCTGAATTTTCTGTCAGTTTGATTGGTTGTTTGGTCGACAAAGTCTGGTGAAAAACGAGGTGTTTCCCAAAGACGATGTCCTCAAGTGACCTGCTCTGTCCACAACCCAAACATGCTCCGTTTTATTGTCATAAAGGACGAGAATATTTAAATTTAAGTTTTCCTTTAATTTCCTGAAACCAGTTAATCTATTTTCATTGTAGATGGCAATTAATTTAATAGCTGACAACTGGCTGGATACTGTGGAGCAGTGAGAGCATCAAATTACAAAAATAAATCAATAAAAGAATAATAAAATAAAAGTAGAAATAAAAAGAAAAATACATAAAATTTAAAAAATAAATAATGTGGCAATATAGAGACATATTAATCAAAAATGAATCTATAAAAAAGGCTAATAAAAGTAGAAACAGAAATACAAATAAATTAAATAACAATAATATTTTTTTAGATTTATATATGTTTTATTTATTGTCAATTTTTGATTTTATTTCATTTTTCAAATATTTGTTAAGAATATTTTTTAACTATTTTTTCTTTTTTTTAATTTTTAAAATTATTTTTCCATTTTAATTTTTTTCAACTTTTTATAAGGTCACGTTAAAAGCAAAGAAAATATGCACAGAAAAATGTGTGCAGCAGGAACGTTGCTCTGTGAATTTTGCTGATTTAAACCTTCTATTTTGCACACAGCTTCTAACATCACAAACACAAAACAAATGAATTATTGGCACAAACTAGGCTTGCATATTAGGGTTGTGTGCTGAGCTTCGTTATGAAAATGACCAGTTTCACTGCTGCAGGTTCATCTGAGGCACCTCCAGTGACTTCTATCCCTTTTGAAGCTAAATGGCTTTCTCCCCGCTGCAGAGAAACTCTAACGGGAGTAAACACCTTTTTTATCAACTTTTCTCATAGCCGCCAAAGCTTTTCATGTCAGAAGAAAGGATAAAAAAAAAAAATCCATTGAAGCGGGAACTCACCATTGTCTGTGGACACCATGAAGGTGTTGGGAGTCGTGTCTCTTCCCCCTCCTCCGTTTTCGAATGCTCCGTATCCCTCGCTTTCCTGAAGCTGCCAGTTTAGACCAAACAGGTGCATAGCTTGTGCGGGAAGGAGGGAATGCAGGCAGAGGAAGGAGAGGAGAGGTTATTCCAGTGTGCAAAATGATATAGAGAGGAAAGAAATGACAGGATGAGGAGGACAGTGAAGAGAAAAACAAATAATGCTAATAATGAACAAGAGCACCAGAAAGTAGGGACAGCGAGGAGGAACATCATATTCATCTAATTATAAGTAGTTGTTGTGTGTACAGTATGTATGGATGTAGGTCTGCGGTTGCACAATCTGCGGTAAGCACAGCACCAGCAGCATGTTTTTCAGAAGATGGATAACATCTATAATGCTCTCCACGCACGTGCACGCGCACACGCACACCATAGCCCCGGTGAAAACACATATACGAGTGTGCACAACTGTAACAATCACACACACAAACAGCAGCACTCGGGGATAGATGGAGTGCGTTTGCATCACAGGACGCCTCTGGCAGCTTATCTGACATAACGCAGCACAACGCTCACCTCTACCACCTACACGCTCTGTGTGTGTGTGTGTGTGTGTGTGTGTGTGTGTCTGTGTGTGTGTGTGTGTGTCATCTGCGATCCTCCTCCTTCCCCCTTCAATCTAAATTGAGACATAACCAGCTCAAAATAATACATATATACACATTTGTAGGAGTCACACTCAAAGCGCTGCCTCCTCTCCTCCAGCGGATCGTCCACTGTGCTGGTGTCTCTCGGATCAGCCTGTCTGGTGAAGGACTGCAGAGCTGATGTGGCGTTTCCCCCAAAACTAAAGTGAAAACTTTGGTTTTCTACTTCTTGCAAAGTCATGAATTAAAGCTTCCAGTTGACTCCTGTGGGCTTCTGTCTGGCTTCATCCTGATGTGAACAGAACTCATCCAGTCGTAACTAAATAAACGTAAACCTGATTTGTATGGGTCACTAGTACACAGCTATACTGTTTAACATGGTGTTGCCTGAACCACACCACAGAGCAGAACTCGGTTTTTACTCATAGTTTCTGCTCATCTTGACCTGAAACTGTGAGAATTATGATACGTCATAAACACCTGCATCCACTTGGTTACCTGATATCACGACACGGAGGCCTAATGGACCACATGAGACTACAGTTTCTGACATCTGGACTTGGCTAGCTCGGGTTCCATGTCGTGTCCTGACCTGGATATACAGATGTTTCGGTTTTGGAAAGCCAGACGTGTAAAGTTTGTAAGAGTGTGGACTAAAAGCAGCAGCAGAACAACCCTGAATCTAAGCAGTTTAAATGATAAATATCTTCATGTTCAGATGCCAGCTCCCGTCCCACGTTCACAACAACGACTAAGAAGCATCTAACATTCGCCGTCTCACCTTCCAGTTGCTCCACATCTGATAAAAGAGGCCACAGGTGGAACAAAACCACACGAGCATCGGCTTTTTTAATTGGTAAACAGGGTGCTAATGAAAAAGCCGGGAAGCTGAAAACAAGCATCAAGCAGGCAGTCGGAAATGTTTTGTCCAATTTTCTTTGAATGATTCCATTTGCTAGAAGTGCTTTTCAGTTCAGGGTTTGCCGGTTTGACATCTTTAAATAAAGATAAATGCTTGTTTGTCCCAAAGGAAAGATCTCTGAGCAAGTAAAGGCTTCAAACTGTAACACAACCATGAATATCTGAGTGAGTTCTACCTCACTCTGCCTATCGAACTCTGATGTAGTCGCCCTGACACATCAGAAGACAGATTGGTGAAGCTCCGTCCTGCTACAGGAATGACTTTCTGTTTGTAAGCTTCAGCATTAAAATGTTCTCCACAAACAGAAGAGAAACGATTTATGAAGACAGCCGTGAGGAAGGATTTACAGAACATCTGATGAGTTAAAGTTGATATAAACGGTTAAAAACAACGGAACAAACGTCGCATTTGGGAACGTATGACAAAAACATGTTTTATTCTAACACGGATCAGCTTTGCTTTTAATTCAATGAAATTCCAAAGCTGACCTGGGATCACGGCTAGCTTTGCACCGGGACAGAAAGTCTCTCTGCTTCGGGCCTCAGAGGGTCTGAGGTTCCCCCCAACGTGGGATTTATGTTCAGGCCAAACCACATGCCAGATGATCGCTGCTCAGCTTTCACGTATCGGGGACGGGGTCTCTGTGGCAGCCATTTGCTCTGACTCGTCAAAACTCTCATCTGACATTCACGATAACTTCAAGCCACGATCGGACAGTTTTGTTGAAGTGTCCTGGGGAGACTGTCTGAAAACGTGGACTGCCTCCATGGTTTTAAATACGACACGTTCCCCTTCACCGTGATGGCCTTGCCTGAAGGTGGCGCCATTCAGAACAACGATGAATACTTTTGGAGAGACCACCACCTGGTCTGAACACATTACCACTGATACGACACGGTAACTGTGGTCAGGAAGCCTTCTGCAGATCTACCTCTACCCAGACATGTTTCATAAAGGCTGGGGAGTGTTTTAGTGATGTGGGATTTCAGGGGCCACTGTCAGTAAAAGAGAAAGTGTTAGGGGAGACCAGGGATGGTTGTACCAAAGGGATGGGTGTAACACACTCGGTTTGACTAATTAGTAACGAGCTGTGGTGATGTCATCAACACAGTCCATGGCCACTTATGGACTGAGCTCACAGGTGAAGCCTCGTGTCTCTGAGTTAAAAACTGTCTGTTCTGGAGGCAAAACCCGGTTTTTTCGGTTAGGAAGTTAAATTTTTTCTTCCCTTTTTTTTTTTTCTTTTGTCTGTTTTGTTGGTGATTTGGTTTTTTTCCTCTCATCTGTTGCAGGAGTTTTTCTTGTTTTTTTTTTTGTGTTTTTTTATTGGTGGTTGTTTTGCTGCTTGCTGCTAACAGTTGTTTTTTTTTGGGCTGCTTGGTGGGGGGGGGGTTGTTCTTGTTGTTTTTTCGTTGTTCTCCTTTTGTTGTGTTGTTGTGGTGTTCTGTTGTTGTTGTTGGTTGTTCCGCTGTTCTCGTGTTGTTCTGCTTTTTTTTCTCATCCTGTTGTTGTCTTCTCCACACCCCGCAGTTTTTTCTTTTTTATTCTTTGTTTTTTTTTTTTTATTTCTTTTTTTTTGTTTTTTTTGTCTTTTATTTTTTCTTTGTTTTTTTTTTATTATTATTATTTAGAAGTCCAGGTGCATGTCATTTATAGCAGAGCCATATGGGTACCACATGTCAGGATTTGAGATCTCCAGCACAAAGAACACCTGAGTTACACCTGGTCAAACAAACAGTGTGACTGTCATCCTGGTCTCCCCTACAGTGATCGCCCGTATGAAATGTGATTATTTAATTTTCTTAAAATGCCATTGTCCTCACTCCGATCAAAAATGCAACAAATGACAGATAGGTTTCACAGCCTCCTAAAAGCAGACAGACACTTGTACGAATAAAACACAAACGTTGTTGTTGGATACGTGGACGGACCTCCTGCGTGACACCAGAAGACAAAACGCAGGAACCTGTTTGTGTTGCTTGAAAACACACGAGCGGTTTGGATTCCTCACACAGCAGATATTACAGAGAGAATCGTGTCAAGGACCAATTACTGATTCAACTTGGGAACATTTAGTGAGAGAAACTCCCACCTCGCTCGCCCGTCTCACACACACACACACATACACACACACACACACACTCACACACATGCGCAGCTCTTTGCCTCATTAAATTAGAGTCCTGCTGTGCTCGCCTGTTACCCACAACCCTCCGTAGTGAGGACAGGAGCAAAGGGTCATGGGAGAGTGCTGGCTAATCGACAGGAGCCCGAGTGTGTGTGTGTCTCTGTCTGGTCGGCTATCTTTATGAGGGCCCGTTTGGGTCTGCATGTGTGATGAAGTCTGGATTCACGGCCGCGACACCAGACCGATTCTGACAGAACCTCTGTAGGACATCTGGAACATTTCAGAATAAAATAGTTTTGGATTTAAACATGAAAATAAAAGCGTGAAGCTGAGCGATGCTTCCGCCATCATCATCTAAAAACAAGCAACAGAAACACTCGGATCGATGAAACCTCATCACACTGAGCTCAAAGCAGGTCTGGAATCAACAGACTAATGAACAACCTTTCCTGAGTCTGTTCAGAACGGATCCGGTTCAGCCCTGAAGATCTGACTCACACTGAGCTGGACCACAGCAGCCCGATCCAGCACTTGGAAATCAGAAAATGTGCTGAGATGTTGTTAGCAGATGAGGCAGAGGAAACAATCTCCTCGTGTTTCGTGAAGCTATCAGAATGTGTAACGGCGATACAAGGCTGACAGAAGAAGGACCGATGCCGTTAAACAATGTAAAGCCCCTGGATATCCACGGTCCACCCACTCAGGTGTTCCCACTTATGTAGCCTGATGACACTCAGACCTCAGGACTGTGTGGGTGTGAGCAGGTTGTGTTAATAGACTTTTGTCACAGCTGATATTCTGAATAGCAAAAAAATAAAGGTTCTGTAATGCCAGGTCCAGACTGTCTCCATATGACGGCCACTGTCAGATCAGGCACACATCCATCCATCCATCCATCCATAATAATCTGGACTGTGGAAGGAAGCCGGAGAACCCGGAGAGAACCCACGCTGCACGGGGAGAACATGGAGACTCCACGCAGGAAGATCCCGGGTGAACGAGAACCAGCGACCTTCTGGCTGTGAGGCGACGGTGCTAACCACTGATCCACCTTGCAGCCCGTTGCTAAAACACACCAGACAAAATTTCAGATAAAACCACTGATGTTTGCAGCTGAGGCCATGCTATCTGTCTGATCAATACGACTTGTATGATCTGTAGGCTGAACCTGGTGTGTGACCATCAGCAGTGGTGCCATCACGTTAAGGTGTCCAAGTCAAATGGCCAAGCTGCATGATAGCAGGAAGACAATGAGTTAAACCAATGCTTTTCCTGCTCTGCTGTAAACCTTGTCTATGGACCAGGGCCTCGGGCACCTGCTGAAACCTCCACCTTCATCATTCTGATGTCTTACAGCTACATTCATATGAGATGATTCTGCTTCTGAAAATGCATGACC